AATAATATAAATAAAATTTTTTAACAGTTGTGTAACGTTAAACGAAGATCTACATAGGGGGCACTGTCCCTGCTGAAACGCGACGCGCGAGATCTCCCACGAGACAAAATTGTAACTTAATATATTGCAGTTTTTAGTGTTTCTAGTGATAAAATTATATCAAATTTATGATTTTACCAAATATACCTTGCGAAATAAATGATAGTCTCACACAAAGGTACGAGTTATTGTTAAAAAAAATAAAATCGTAAAAAAAAACTACTGTACTGTTTATATAATTTTATTTATTAATCGTATGTATAAGCAAAGCACAGACAGATGTATTAATTATTCTTATTATCATGTCCTCCACTTTGCACCCGGCAAAAAAAAAGAAGTAAAATTTTAGGTAACTTTGCTACGCAAAAAAAAAAAAAAGAATTAAATAACTATTATTACTATAGTACCAGATTAAAAAAAGAATCCAACATTATGACGACCTATATATATATATATATATAAAACAAAAATTCTACAAGAAACATATACAAAAAACTTATAGAAAAAAAAACAAGAACTATTAATAATAAAGAGTTTCTCAAATAAATATATTTTTTTTTTCTCTAATTAGAATTAAAAAAAAACGTTCTAAAAAAAAAAAAAAAAGTACGCACTGTACGCGTACGTACTAATTTTTGCTCATACTACGTTAATAAATAAATTATTATTAATTAGAAATTTCCGTATGTTCTTTTCGACTCTGCTTTATATCTACTGGTTTGACCATCATTCCTATTGGTCGAATACATATTTTTTGGTGTTAAAGTATGATCACTGCCAGAATTGCTATTCATAGAAGTGCTATTCAATGAAGATGCTGTAGAATAAGTTGAATCTGAATATTCACGAGTTGGTGTCAATGATAAACCATTATTACCGTTATTATTAAATATAGGAGCATTTAATTGAATAAATGAACTTCTAGAATCATCATATGTATTCGAAATAGTTTGTGTGGTTGTGGTTATCGTACTGAAACTATCATTACGTATTCTAGAATGATTATTTTTACTAGCACTCACTGATGATTGTACTCCACGTAAAATGTTAAATGATGGTGAATTTGGGAGATTACTATAATCTGTAGAATAGGTTGAATACATTGAATACATTGAACCCATTGTATATCTTCCTTTATTGGTAGTTTTTGCTTCCGGTGATGTAAACTCAAGTCCTAAATAAACCGATTCAGGTGAATTTTTGAATTCGTCTTGATCCATAGTTGGTAAAACGTCCGAATCTCTATTACTACTTGTAAAGAAAGATTGTGTTGAACCACGATCGGTTAAATCTTCCAATGGTAATGTTGGAGAATTCATTTGACTGGATATTTCACTGCCTAACATGAATGGACCTTTAGGTGTATGTGATCCTGTGCTTTGATCATCTTTTGACAATGAGGATGAATCTCTTAAACTATTTCCACTGTTTAAAACATTAGAAATTAACATAAATTTCGATAATCTAATATCATCCGTGGTTTGTTCGTTTTCATCAGGAGGTGTTGGACTTGAGGAAGTACTTGTCGGACATGATAAATATGATTGAGTAAATGCCATGGTTGAATTTTGATTTCCAAGTCTATTATTACTTTCTTCATGTGGATGACTTCTATTAACAGCACCTGCAGCTATTGCAGCCATTTCCGGTGATAGAGAATGGGAATTTGTATGTTCAATATTATGATTACTATGCATTAGAGGTAATGGAGTAATAGGTGGTGGAGCACTACTTGAGAATGAGTTTGGCCTTGCGGCAAATGGATAAGCGTTATTATGCGTTGAATCAGCATCTTCTCTTCTTTTTTTTCTGCGCATACAACAAAAACAGAGAAGTAAAGCAGCAATAAGAAGAGCACCAAGAATAGGACCAGCTATCATAGCAATTTTACCAACATCAGGCGAAGAAGAGTCAGCAGAACTATTTGCAGAAGGAACGCATACGTTTCCACTACAAATTGAGTTTATATTGCATACACTGTTATCTTGACATGGAGAACTATCTGAAAGTCTTGCGTAACATATATGGTCTGTAACATTGCAATAATAGTGAGAAGAGTCTTGGCATGATAAAGAGCTTATAGAATCACCATTAAGGCAAGGCATCGGAGCTTGTGCGGAATCATTTGTAATTCCAGTTGGCGCGGCTGAATGAGTATCGGATGTTATTGTTGGTTGATTGGGTGAAAGTGTCGCAGCGAGTAGAGGAGGTGCTGGACTTGACTTGAGAGTTGAAGAAGGGGTGCTTCGAGTTGCGGCTTTTGTTGTTTTGGGGTTTTTACTCGTAGTAGTCTCATCTTCATCTTCATCTTCATCTTCGTCTTCATCTTCGTCTTCATCTTCGTCTGACTTGGCTGTAGG